GAATTCGTTGGGGAATGACCTCGGGGGCCTGATCTTTGCCCTTCTTAGGTTGTGTGACTGAGGTGATATAACAATGTCTGGCCATCTCTTGATTACCTCGTAGTGTTGCTATTCCCATAGGAGTTGGGAACTTTATGTAGAGGTGAGATTGGGAAACCACAGCTCGGATTTCAGTCAGTGTGGGTTGGCCAATAACAACGTTGAAAGAGGACGCCATTTTGACTACTAAGAACCAGACCGAAGGAGTCACATAGGTTCGACCACTCCCGAAAGCCACATGGAGGTAAGAACTCCTTCTACCTGAACAGGCTGGTTATTGAAACCATAGATGGGACCATCATATCTCTGTAACAACGTTGGATCCAGTCCAAGACTCTCGAAACAGTGAAAGTACATGATATCTGGTGCACTCCCGATGTCAACAAGGATACGTTGTACTTCACAATTGTTAATCATGACAGAAGTGACCAAGGGATCATTGTGGGGCGTAACAACTGTGTCAGAATTGGCAGATGTGAAAGTAATGGGTTGATTCTTCCAGTCAGCATCGTCAAACTTCCTTTTCTGAGCTCGGTTTTGATGCTTAACCTCTCTGACATACAGCTTTCGCTGTTTAGAGCTCAGTCCACCTGCTTCCAGGCCTCCTGTGATCATGTGTATGACTCTAGCTGGTGGTGGGAGTGGAGGTGGGGTTTGCTGATATCCCACACCTTGCCTGTTTGGGGGATTGCGGACTCCTTGAGGCTGTGGCCTCTGTTCTCTGACAAACCTCGGCTGTTCAGCTCTCTGAATGTACTCATTCAACATTCCTTTCTGAGCTAGACTTTCCAGTTCGGACCTTAAACTGTTGCACTGTTCTATAGTATAACCGTGATCTTGATGAAAATCACAATATCTGGTATGATCTCGGCTAGTAGCAGCAGTCTTCATTGGGCCAGGACGCCTTAAATCCATCTTATTCTTGATCTACATAAAATCTGTGACCTCGGCAAATTAAAAGGAGTCCAATCAACTGGAGGTTTACCTGCAGACTGTTGCGGGGGTGTTGAGTTCGGCCTCCCGAATCTCGGTGTGAAGGTCGGCATCGGACCTCGGTTCTGTGCCATTCTCATCATTTTCCTGCTCGGATTGTCATCTCTCCATTCTGGGTTTTGGTTCTTGGAGGGAGTTGGGTTCTGCGCCAGGGCGTATTCCTCAGCAGTTATAAATTTCAGAGATCTAT